GAGAAAGTCGTGTCCCCTTATGTTTGTTTAGATCTTTTTCTCTGTGACTGGAACATATTTAAATCATGCGAAAACCGGAAGAGGAAAGAAGGTGGAGAAAGAAAGAATCAAAGAAAAAGAAAGATTCCGCTACAATGAGAAAATATAGATAAAGAAATCAGTTAAATGTATTAAATGTAACTTGTTTGTATATATTTATTGGGTCCTATGTTTATATATGGTTGTTGTTATTGTTGAGTGAATATTCGACCTTTTTATACTGTGAGTTCGTTTTCTAATGTTATTTCGGAAATTTGGAATATAGACATTACAACTGCAGATTTGTAATACGTAAGGTGGATTTGTTAGTTCGGATTGTTGAAAAAGAGGTAAACCTTTTTGGATTAAAATGTGACATTTTATAGTTGATGATGAAATACGCAACGTAAGAGGTTTTACTGTCTAATAATGACTATTTGTTTCTATGGGTATCCAAGGATTTTATATCTTTTCTTTTTTTTTACATAGTGAATTTTCAGTTCGACCAAATTACAAGTGATCATACACAAAATCAAAAATCACTGTTATTGTTTGATTTAGTTGAGTTCGATATGTTATGTTGTTATTTTAAAAAATTTATTTATGATATCATTAATCTCGTACGTTTAGTGAAACTTTTACGTCTGCGGTTTTAGATGGATAACTCTACTGTATTATTATTGATAATCTTTGCTCCGATATTAATAACTCCATTTTCACTATGTAAATAAATTAATGGACTAGTTTTTCATCATTTCCTTGTTAAAAATAGACTAAATGGAATGAGAGATGATACCTAGTCGATATGGATTAGGTTAAAACTCAGAATCAAACACAGTGGTGGTTATTTGTTTGTTAACGATGTATGAAGAATAAACCATATGCTCATAATCTCCCCTGGTTCTTATTCGTAATGTGACAGAATTTATGTATTACGTTTTTATTCTTTTGATAAACAATTAATTTCTTTCAATACGTTTTGATAAAAGACTGATTTATTCAATATAAGGAGGGTATCTGCGGTTATCAGTATCGTATAAATAATATCAGATACACAAGAATCTTTGATTGAAATGGCCTTTTGATTCAATTAATGTCTAGCTGATAATCTAGTTATGATTAAATTGTTTCCGGCGAATCAGTAATCACAACCGACCTTAGCTCAGTTGGTAGAGCGGAAGACTGTAGTGTTAGCAGACAATCTTTAGGTCGCTGGTTCGATTCCGGCAGGTCGGATATTTTTATTTTTCTTTTTCTTTCTTTACGTTTATTGGGCCCCGGTAGAAATGAAGCCCAAGAGCTATTTTTTCACTCTTTTCCGTTGAAAGCACATAAATAAAATCAGTAAGCCCAAAAGTGTAAACAACAAACAAATTTCTACTGACCACACTACTAATATGATAATATCGTTGTTGCTCTACAACAAATTTTGTTTTAGGCAGCCAGAATTACGTTTCATGAATCATGCAAATTTCGAAATAAAGTTTCAATCTAAGTGTAGTCCTGTGGTATCGTTTTACTAGCCCTCAATAATATTGATTGGCTTTTGAAAAATTCAGTTACAGTAATTAACAACCCATTATGTTAATGTATATTTTAATCTAGGAGATGTAACAAAAACAACCTTCAAATGTCAATTTGGTAGAAGTTTCTCGCAAAGAAAAGCATATTTGGTTTTTGTTTTCTCTTTCGACTAAAAGCATATTTTGGTTATATATAGGAAATATTGGGGTAGTAAATGTCTAAATGGATTCATCGTAATTTCCATTTTCTAACTAAGTGGAATCACTCTTTAGTTTCCACTCAGAGTGGATGGAGTGTGTGACCCCAGTCTATCCTCAATAGTTTATTATATCCTACTTTTTTTGGGGTCCTAATCAAAAGTTAGGTCAATTTATTCATTATTGTTCTGTATTACAATATCAAAAGAAGAGTATTTGAATTCGGGAGACAGGTTATCACATAAAAAGTTTAGCACTTCTCCGGGAAAATTATTTAATCCTGATTTACATACTAATATATTTTATATTCGAAATTTTTATATTTGAAACTAAAATCAAATATATTTGATCATTTAAAAAATATTTAAGAGACATGTTGCATTTTCAAATGTAGTGCCATGCATACTTATGTTAAACGTAGTTGAGTATTTGATCATTAATTCACAAATCATATATACAGAAGTTACATTTTAAAACGCAGTGCCATATTTGATCATTTAAATGTAACTTGTATATATGATTTGTGAATTATATACAGAAATTTCTTTTTAAGTTAAACATAATTGAAAATGTATACATAATTGAAACATCCTTTTTTTTCGCTACATTTTTAAGTTAAACATAATTGAAACATCCTTTTTTTTTTGCTACGAGCATTCATATAAGTTATAACCATATATATATAAGCATACACTTTGCTACGAGCATTCATATAAGTTATAACCATATATATATAAGCATACACTTTGCTACGAGCATTCATATAAGTTATAACCATATATATATAAGCATACATTAATCTAATATTTTTGTAACTCTATTATATTCGAAGAAGTCACACTCGACTTTGCATCTCCAAACTTCGTGCCAACAATAATAAATAAGTGCATGCACGAACTTTTTCCATCACTATCTATAAATATAAAAGCATATATCTTCTGGTTTGCCACAACACAAGACGATAAAGTTGAAGAGTAAGCTAAGATCCTATCTTTTTTTTTCTTCTAGATATCACAATTTGCTTCAATTTCTAGTATATATAGTTTTCAAATTTTTATGAACTTCAAAAACGAAGCATACTATTGTAACAAGTCCTTACAAAAAAAAAGTTTATATCTTTTGAAAATTCAAAAGACTGGATAAGAAAAAGGAAAGTTAGCCTTTAATTGTATAAAAATTACTCTTTGCTCTCTGTTTATTTTTATTATTTTCAAATGCTTTTCTCTGTACTTTTTGATAACGAAATTACTTTCTTTAGTTTCTTCACCACAATCTTAAAGTGTTACGTATTGGTCAAGCCACCTTTTCTTCTTCTTTTTCCTCAGCTTTTTTTTTAAGTGGTTAGTGGTATATTCCGTCACGTAACCACATAAGAGTTCTCATATATATATATATATATAAACACTCCTTCACAAAAACATCGTTCAATACCAAAATTAACAGAAAACAAATCATAACAAGATAAACTAAAACATTAGAATGGGAACGTTCTTAGGACACTTTGTGCCTGGTCTCTCACTTGCACTTCTTGGTCTTTGGCATCTCTTCAACACCATTAGATCTTATTGTCTTAAAGGCCCTGAAACTTTCTCAGCAAGATTCTGGTTCCCTTTCCCTAAACTCAAACATCTCGAGCTCATCTCGATTCTCTTTATCTCCCTCTTTGCCATCATTCTCCTAACCATAGATTTCCCTAATTTCAACTTCTCCTCTTTCAAACCAGACAACCTAGAACACGCTTCCATGTTCCTCCACCTCATCATCTTCGCGTGTTTCGCTTTGTTCTGTGAGCTAACCCTTTGCTCAGATCTCTTCTCTGGTTTGATCGGAATCCTCTCTGCTTCTGTCTTCGCTCAAGAACTCTTCCTCCTTCATTTTCACTCTACTGATCATTTAGGTCTTGAAGGTCACTACCATTTCCTACTCCAGCTCATCGCTTTTGTCTCCTTCTCTTCAGCTCTAGCTTCTGCTTCTTTCCCGAAATCATTTTCCGCCGCCCTAGTCCTCTCGGTTTCGGTTATGTTTCAAGGATGCTGGTTCTTGAACATGGGTTTCATGCTTTGGGTCCCAGGAAACGTTCCTAAAGGTTGCGTGAGCAACACGTCAATATCTTCGGACAATAATAGGAGAAGTGTTGTTCATAGTAGTGCGGTGGCTTGTGAGTCTCCTGGTGCTGAGATCAGAGCAAAAGCATTGGCGAATCTTCAGTTTAGTTGGATGTTGTCTGCTATATTGATCATTACATGTGCCTTGTGTTTCAATTTTTCCGGCAAGGTTGTGTTGCCTAAGAATAGGTCGTCCTCGGAGTACGAGCGTCTTTGCCGGCAAGGAAGTGATCGTTCTGCAACCGTGACGGTGGCAGTACAGGCCAGTCCCGATCAACAATAGATTTTCCTTTACTATGTTATCTTATAATATAATAATACGATGTGTTTTATGTATACAGTAACAGAATATCCCTAATCATTACATGATTTACATATTTAAGAAGGGGAAGAGTGTAACGCACTACAAGTAGTGAACCCTTTCGCATGCTTTGTAATTTGTGAATTAAAGCATTTGCCTATAGTTGTTTTTTTTTAAAATGCATATAGAAACATTAATTAGTAACGGATTTGAATATTAGACTTTATCCATCACAAATTCGTAGTAATTAAACATAAACAAATTATATAAAAAAAATCACCTATAAGAAAAAACTTGTTTGCAAAAGATAGTAAAAGATTGGCGACGAGTAAAACAAATTCTACATAGTATGGCTGAAATTTATCCTCACTTCAAATGGAATATATGTCAGAAAATTACAACTTATTTTATATTTTAGAGTGAGCAACAGAAAGAAGAAAACAAATATACCATTGCTGATTACCAGACTTATACTCGGTTTACTTGATTCTATTGTTTGGTTAACTTAGATTCATTTGTATTAGTTTGGTATAGGCTTTAGTAGTAATCAATGGTCAGAATGATAAAAATAACTATTTTCCCAGTAAAAAATATATTTTTCCAGAAACAAAACTTTTTCAGTAAAATATTTTTTCCTATTATTAATAATAGGTCGGATTTTGGTGGAGAAAATTTATTACTATATGTGTGTAATAAAAGAATCTTGGGAATCTGAAAAAGAAAACTTCCATTGTGTTATTCAATGTGAGTTGTCTAAATCAATGTAAAGAAACTACAAAGAGAAAACTGCGTTTGCTTCTTCACTCTTTTATTCTTCCTTTTCTCCGAATCTTAATATCTCTTCTTCTGGGCAAGAAAACAAAGAAGAATAATATGAAAACTACTCAAAGATCGTCGGTTCGAACAACATCGGCAGCATATCAACGCAAGCTAAAACCGGAGCCAATACCGGCGGCGAAGAACTTCATCAAGATCATTCTCCTCTCAACAATCAAGGAAAAAATGATGGTAATAAAAACAATAATCATGCAGATTATTTACCAACTTCACATTTTTGAGTTTTGAGTTTTATAAAAAATTATTGAAACTTGCTTGCATGTGTGGAATTCGCAGAAAATTCCGGATAGATTTGTGAGATTAGGTCCTAAACTCTCTGACGTTGTGACAATCCAGACTCCTGCGGGTTTCAAGCGTTCGATTAGGATAAAACGAATCGGTGATGAGGTTTGGTTCGAAAATGGTTGGAGTGAGTTTGCAGAGGCTCATTCCATAAGTAAAGGTCATCTTCTGTATTTTCATTACAAAGGGGATTCAAGTTTCCTTGTTATGATCTTTGATGTTTCTGCTTCTGAGATTGCTTATCCACTGGACAAAGTTATTGTCATTGAGAGTGATGATGATGATGAAGAAGTGATGGAAGTTATGGATGTTGATGAAGAAGAAGAAGAAGAAGATGAAGGGTTTACTAGAATTGAAATAAGTGATGATGATTCGTGTGGAGTAATTGATTTAGAAGAATTGTTGAAGAAGAACCCAAGAGTCAACAACATCAAGAAGACGATTACAATTGGTAACAAAGTTTAAGACTTCAGAAAGATTTGTGGGTTTAGTGTCCTTTTTTTATTCTTTTGTGATTTGGTTGGTCTTCTTTGTTGTAGATGATGTTGAAGAGATTGATTCAATGGATGAGATTGAAGAAGACAATACAGCCTTGAAGAGCAAGAAGAGGTCTTAAAAGTTGAAAACTTTTGCAATATGTTTTTTTCTGGTTTCTCTGACAGAGATCCGTGTTTCTAGCTCTTTAAACAGGCTTGCAAGGTCAACTATAACGTGTGCTTGTCATGTCTGAATCTGACAAGAACATTAGCTTAATTGTATCATTTGTAGTAAGAAACTTGGTTCTCTTGTAATCCTTTTGTGTAATGTAACGTGTGTGTGTAAAAATGCTTGCCAAGTTTTATGATTTCATCATCCTATATCCCACAAGTTACTTAAACCAATCATCTCATTATCTTCAACAACCAAATCAATGTTGGTTCGGATACAACAAGACACTAAAACCCATCATAAACATCAATCTTCAGATTCACTCAGAAGTTCGATAACCAAATTGATGAAAGATAAAAAAAGTAATTACAAGTCTACTTTTTGACCCTAACTACCACTCAAACAAAGAGTTGTTTCTCAACTCAATCGTCAAATACTTTATCCACATCGAAACATAGAAACCTGAAATATGTTCACACAAAACACTACTAAAACCAGACTGATTCTCCCAGAAATGCAATGAGAGATTAAGATAGTTAAAAGAGACCCCTCATGAAACTTTCAGCTTTGGGTCACACGTACTGATTGACGCGAAAGGCGGTGACTTTGAGAACGAAGTCCCGAGTTCTGAGTAGCTCAAACACACAAACATCTCCTTCTCCAATGTTGTTCTCCAGAGTGAACTCGTACCATCCTTGGCTAAACTTTGCTCTCCCTGCCTTGTAAAGGCACCTCACTGGCCATTGTTTCTCCCCGAGTTGGATCTTGATGAAACCAGATATCCCGCTTAGGTACTTCTCAGCAAACCCAGAAGGCAAGTACTGTCGAAAAACCAATAAGAAATCTTTAAAAAACAGGTCATACACAGTTAAAGTTTAGTCCTTTTTCACACAAATCTTCAAACTGAATCATAATTATTTAGAAGTTTACGTACCATGATGCAGCCTCTGTACAGATATGATGGTCGCAGAACAACTCTAAAGAAAGGATTGGTCGGTTCGAATGTTTTGGCTGCATTGATGGCTCTCTCTCTTTCCTCTGCGGTTACAGTTCTCTTCCTAGCAGAAGCACTCTCGTAGAACTTTGAGCGGTTCTCTGAGTCATCTCCACCCGGAGTCGAAGAGTTTATTTCCTCTGCACGTACCCAACACAATACGAATCTTTAGACTCTCTCCTTTGAACAAAAAAAACAAGAATCAAGAGTGAGTCTGTCTCTGATACTTACCGGGATTAGGATTCTTCTTCTTCCTTCCTCTCTTCTTAAGCACTTTCGGCGTCACTTCAGGTTTAGATTCAGCGAACAAGCTCTGTGTTGGTGTGGAACCATCAGACTCTTTATTTAGCGGTGCAGTGGATTCAGGGATCGATGGATAAACGACTCCGGCGTCTTTGTTTTCGAGGTCACCAAACAATCGAGCTCGTTTGTTCAACTGATTGTGTGCGGAATCCATGTCCATGACAGCACTTGAACTCAGAGAGTAAGGATATAGATTGAAAACGCAGATTTTGATCAATAAACTCCTTCAAAACCGTCTTGAAACTAGGTTTTGTTTGTCAGCTTTCCTTAGTCCTGCATGCCACACATGAGCAACAGGTACAGTGAGTGCAACAACAAAACGAAAAGCATTAAAACAAAAGCTTCAATCGTCTTTTATGGTCCCATCATAGTTTAGTATCAACAAGCATCTATAAAACACAAAGACCGGAGAAAAAGAGAGCGTTGTCTAGTTAAAATCATTTATCCAAGTCGAGTAATTAGTCACAGTTTCAAAGCTAAGCTCTTTTTACAGTCAGAACTATGCATGTTTTCAGATCTATGAAGTCCACTCGTTGTCTTTCTAGCTCTCTCTCTCTCTCTCTCTCTCTCTCTCTCTCTCTCTCCTCTCCACAAGCCAACAGATACACTATACATGTTTTAGGGTTTCAATTCTGCGTTACATGCTAAGACTAAAGTCAGCTTAAAGACCTAAATTTTTATCTTTTTTCTCCTAATATTCTTCAATATATTGGACAGAACAGAAGCACAACCTGAGCAGTATCTGAAGTCAAAATGCTTCAAACAAAATTCTGAATTTCACTGACCCACCTCGCATTTCGCTGTTTAGAGAAACATAAATTACAAAATCAAAGACTAGATGCAGATTTCTCCAAACCCAATTTTCAACCCAACCAAAAACAAAGAACATAAAAACAGTCTCTTGAAAGCTTTGGATCCCGAATTTCACAAAACATAAGCAGAAAAAAACAAGCATTTCATTACTCCTTTCTCACTCAATTCTTCACTACCCACAGCTAAAGGACACATCTTTGGGTTGAATTTTACCACAGAAGTTAAGAGGAAATCTTGATTCAGAGACCCAAACACCAGATTCCTCAAATTTTATCAGTAATCAAATGCAGACAAGAAAAAAGAACAACCTTTGAAAAAGAAGAGCAATTACCAGAAACTTTTGTTGAAGAGCAGACGAGAGAATAAGATTGTGGAAGAAAGAGTGTGGCATATGTATTCAGATATAATCAACAAACAACAGGTGACGAAGTAAAGAGATAAAGGGAGGGACCAGAATTAACGGAGGAGGGGTCAGATCATGAAACGACGCCGGAGAATCCGATAAATAACACTGAGCCTCAAAGAAAAGAAACTCTCTCTCTCTACTCAGATCTGAAAGAAGATTAAGTTTTCTATTTTGGGTCAAAGGACTCTCTCTCCCTCTCGTTTAAACCAGAGCTGAGTGACCCAAACAAATTAAAAATCCCAACTTTACCTAAAAGACCTGTGTGTTTTCTCCTTGACTCTGTGAGTCGAATCGGTGAGTTGACTCGTTTTTAGGTGTATTTGTTAACTCTAAAACTAAAAGCATACCACCCCCACCAACTACTCTTTTTCTACATTATTTTTCTACCCTTTTCTCGTAATATAATAAATATTTTCGTCCTCTTTTAACAGATATACAGTACTATTTTTGTATAGAGTATTTTATTCTCTTTTATAGTCTCACATCATATAATTTTTTAATTAAATTCGCTTATCTAAATTATTTTAATTTTTAAAAGTGTATTTTTAGGTCCTAGGTTGGGAACAATATATTTTCCACAAAAAAAAAGAGAGGAAGATTTTCCCGTTAACAATATATAAAGTAGTTTTGTGGTTAGAACAATAACATTTGATAAAAATAAAATTGAAACAAATATTCTTGTCTTAATTATATAGCTAATTCATATCTATATCATGCATGCAATGCAACTAAAACGTAAAGACTCGCAATACTTTAGTAAATAATATATACTACTAACCTTTGGATAGAAGCTGACAAAAACTTAATTTTTCAGAAAAAGAATGTGTAAGGAAAATTATATTAATAACAAATATGAAACGGTAAGAAAAATGAGAAACTTTACAACAACAAACACAAAAAGATGGTATTGTGTTACATTTCTACAATATAATCTATTGAAAAAAAAGATATACAATGCTCAACTGTAACGGGCATATAATTTTGTTTTTCGTTGTATGGTATTTTTTTTTGTTACAATTGAATTAATATGGAAAAAATGGATACAAATGTAAAAAAAAAAAAATTGTAACACTGTCACTACTACATTAGTGTTTAGTAGCCTGGAAACATTGGTGGTGGAGGCGATGCATATTGAAATCCGATGTGTGGTGGTAAGACGAAGTCACCATTGTCATCATCACTATCATCGTTTCCCGGCGGTGGTGCAGTTTTATCCGATGATGGTTCTGGCGCTTCAGTTTCCTCAGATTGTTTTGGTGATGCGACCGGTTCGTTTGATGGTGATTGCACATGAACCGGTTTAGAGACTGATGTTGGGGATTGAACCGGTTCAAAAGTTGGTGTTGGAGCTTGGATTGGAGATTGATCTGATTCTGATGAGGGAATTGGTACTTGGGTTGGAGGTTGAACTGGTGTTGGAGCTTGAATTGGTGATTGATATGATTCTGATGATGGAGTTGGTACTTGGGTTGGGGATTGAACCGGTGTTGGATTTTGAATTGGTGATTGATCTGATTCTGATGATGGGGTTGGGGCTTGAACCGGTGTTGGAGTTTGAATTGGTGATTGATCTGATTCTGATGATGGAGTTGGGGATTGAACCGGTGTTGGAGCTTGGATAGATGGTTGATTTGTTGTATGTGTGGATGGTGGTGAGAAAATTGGTGGAGGTGGCGAATACACCGGTGGTGGTGGAGAATGGGTTGGAGGAGGTGGTGAGTAAACCGGTGATGGTGGTGGAGGTGAGAAGACTGGCGGTGGTGGAGAGAAAACCGGTGGGGGTGGAGGAGAGTGAACTGGTGTTGGTGGTGATGCCGGAGGAGGAGAAGCAACTGGTGGAGGTGGAGAGTGAACTGGTGGTGGTGGAGGAGGAGGAGAATGTACGGGAGGAGGCGGTGGTGAGTAAACTGGAGGTGGTGGGGAATATACTGGTGATGGTGGTGGTGGGGAAGGCATTGGTGGTTGCGGTGGTGGTACGCGTGGTTCATCTACCTTGGGAGGTGGTGGTGGACGACGTTTTTTAACCGGAGATGCATCATATGGATCATCATTTGGTGGTGAAACCGGTTTAGGAGTCTCTGTTCTTTGCGGTGGTTGAGGCTTAGGAGATTCCTCTGTTTTTGGTGGATTTGGTTTTGGTTGTTCCGGTTTAGGTGATTCTACAGGTTTAGGCGGTTGTGGTTTAGGAGATTCCTCTGGTTTTGGCAGATTTGGTTTTGGTTGTTCCGGTTTAGGAGATTCATTCTTTGGTGGGTTAGGTGTAGATTGTTCTGGTGTTTTTGGTGTCTCGGGTTTTGATGGTTTTTGTGGTTCTGGCTTAGGTGATTCATCAGGTTTTGGCATAACCGGTTCTTTCGGTTTTGGTGGATTAGTTTCTGGCATCTTTGGTACCTTTGGTGATGGTTCAGATCCACCGTTGTTGCCGCCAGAACACTTGTCCTTG